ATGGGCAGTACAGAGATCGTGAATCAGACGACAGAGCAGATTCAGCTGGTCAGACAGAGGTTATTGACCGCTCAGAGCCGACAAAAGAGTTATGCGGATAGACGCCGGTCCGAGTGGAATTCCAGGTCGGCGACTTCGTTCTCCTGAAGGTTTTCTCCTTGGAAAGGAGTGATCCGGTTCAGGAAGAGGGGCAAATTGGGGCCCCGGTTTATAGGTCATTTTCGTGTGATTGCAAGGGTAGGCCGGGTAGCCTATCGGCTGGAGTTACCAGCAGAGTTGGGGCAGATTCACAACACTTTTCATGTATCGCAGTTGAGGAAATGTATAGCCGATGAGTCGGCAGTGGTTCCATTAGAGGATATTCAGGTAGATGCAAGCCTGAATTATGCTGAGAGACCAGTGGCCATTAGGGATCGGAAGATCAAGATTTTGAGAACAAGGAGGTACCTTTGGTATTGGTTCAGGGCAACATCGGAGGGGATCAGAAATGACCTGGGAGCCGGAACGTATATGCGGAAGCAGCATCCGGAGCTGTTTTAGAGCGAGACTTCGAGGGCGAAGTCTATTCTAGTGGGGGAGAGTTGTAACATCCGGATTTTACCAGGTATTTTGTAAAGTTAATTTTGTTGAATTATGAGGGGGGACTCGGCGAGTTGGAGCTCAGACTCGCCGAGTAGGGACGCGGAATTGGACAATGGATCGCGCCTGGACTCGGCGAGTCTGCGCTGTGTAGAGAAACCCTAAAATCCCGGGCTTGAGGCCTATTTAAAGGGCCTTATGGCCGTCATCTGTGCTCACCCAACCCTTAGAGAGAGACCCTTGTGTTCTTGAGTGATTGTGGAGAGAGAGGAGCATTTCTTGACCTTGTGTGTGCCATTTAGCAAAGAAGAAGGAGATTCTAGGCAAGAGGAAGCAAAGGAGGCTGCTATTTCGTGGATTTGGAGCTTAGATCATCAATCTAGAGGTATGATTTCGGTCCATATTCTGTTTGGTGAAGCATTATGCGATTTAGGGCTTATTATGGTCATTTATGGGATGATTTGATGCCCAATGGTTCCCTCCTTGTGTTGAGGTTATGGATCTGGATCCATAGAGGTCCAGAGAGCCTCACTCATCAAGCTTTATGTATAACAATGGAGTCTAGGACCTTGTGTTGTGGTATTTGAGTCAAAAACATCATATATGGTCATATAGAGGTTGTATGTGCATCAAGATTGTAACTTTACGTGCTAAATGAGCTTGGAGGGACTGGATCTATGGATTAATGGACTGGATCTGACTTATGAGCAAGATTGAGTCATTGCATGGCACGGACTCGCCGAGTCTGAAGAACAGACTCGGCGAGTAGCATGAATGTTGCCCGACCACACAGTGAGTGGTCTTGCCGAGTTGGGGAGGGTGGACTCAGTGAGTCAAGGGGGAGTCAGAATGGACCGGTGGACTGAGTCAAACTGGACTCGCCGAGTTGTTTTGAGACTCGGCGAGTTGAGTCGTGGTGGCCCCACAACTCATGCCAGGTGGAACTCGTCGAGTTGAGTGAATGCTCGACGTGTCAAGGGAGGATTCCAGGGAAATTGGTGTATACGCTCAGACTCGCCGAGTCGCTATAGCGCACTCGCCGAGTCCGATCAAAGTTGACTGATGACCGTTGACCAGCGTTGACCTAAATTGACTTGTTATAGTGTGGTCAACCCTAGTTGGGAAAGTGTTAATTAGGGATGTATTGTGCTATAGGGGGACTACAGCTCGGCAGATCGAGTGATTAGCGATTTCAGGTTTACGATTTACCGAGACACACGAGGTGAGTCTTCTCACTATACTTTACCTTGAGTAGGTAACCAGAGTTATGTGATAGAGTATTTGTATGCTATGTATGTTATGTGTTGTACTGCATTATTTCTATGTGATTTATGTGGTGCATGTCTATCAGAGCTAGAACCTGAGGGTTCACAGAGTTTGGGTGCACGGACCCACAGAGTTATAGCCTGGAGTGGCTAATATGTGTTGTATGTGGTATTTTGGGGAACTCACTAAGCCTTGTGCTTACAGTGTTTGATGTTATTGTTTCAGGTACTAGTGACGACCGCGGGAAGGCGCCGGCTTGATCCGTACACACACACGTTTGGAGCTTGATATTATGATCTTGGGATTTTGTATTGTCTTGTTTGGATAATTAAAATGGTTGTTTTTATGAATATTGATGGAATTATGTTTTATAAAAATTGAAAATTTTGTTTTGAAATTTACGGTGTTACATCTGGATTGTATATAACTTGTATACATTAAGTACTCATAGAAGGAAACTAGTATGAACCATTTTACATATCATTCATTACATTAGGAGATATCGGATTTCCTGGAGAAACACATCATGTTTTACAAAGAAAAAAGATATTGTTTTCTAAAACAAAATGTTTATGAACTCACCAACTTTAATGTTGACACGTTTTAGAAACCACTTGTATTCTCAGGGCACTAGTAGACAAGTACTCGCGCAGGTTCTAGAAGACGGAGCATAGTAGCTTCAAGTCTTTATTTTGCTATTTACTTTTGGAGTCAATCATATGTGATTCAAATACAAGGTAAACACAATATTATCATTACAGTGGTTGTGTTTGCTTTGATTACTATTACTCAAATGTTGTGATACTACACATGACGTTCTCCGTCCCTAAACGTTTCCGTCATTCCAGTTTGGGGGTGTGACATTATCCATGTATGACTTTGTAAATGGCTTGATTTTTATAGGCCCACTTGCATATGGTAAATTAGCCTTATGACATGAGACATATATATATATATATATATATATATATATATATATATATATATGTATATATATATATATATATAGAAAGAGAGAGAGAGAGAGAGAGAGAGAGAGAGAGAGAGAGACATGTAAACAACTCTATATAAGTGGGTTCATACCACTTGCAGATGTAACATTGAGAGTGTTAGTGTGTGTTACTTATGTAGATTTAGATCTAAATCATTTTTTGTAAACACCTTTCATAATCGAATGCATCTATTAAACACCCAAATCACCGTGTTCTTTGTGTGTTCTTTAATTCCGCATACCAAACCAATGTTCATAATTGCAATCATTTGCTCACACACCATTTTCATCTTGTCGTTTAGGTTGGGTGGGTTAACATGTCAATTGTTTTTATTTAAACAAATAAAATTTCATTAATTTAATGGAAAAGTACAGCACTTAAAACATAACATAAACCATAGGAAAAACATAATGAAATACTTCAAACACAACTAAAAACATGAATTAAAGCCTATATATCTTAGATATTATATTTCTTCGTAATTTTTGCATTCGCTCTCTCCGTAATTTGACATTCATTCTCGGGCAAGTGAGAACTATTTTTCATTAAGAGTTTATAATCACAAGTCTTTTTTTAGCAATCTTCAACAATTTTTCGATATTCCTAGTTAACTAGTCGAGCACCAATTTCCTATCATCACTTTGACTTGAACTACCTTCGACACCTTTTTGGTTGATCTTTTCTCATGGGACAGCTAAGCCTTGGAACCTCAGTTGGTTCGTCTAGGTTGAGATCTAAACCGACATGGCCAATAGATGATTGGATATGGATGGTTTCTAGGTTTTTGTTCTTTTAGAACCACCCTTAGTGAAATATTTCAATGTATTTACTTCAAGCTTTTTTTTTAATCCTTCACAACATTCCAAAACTCGCCATGTTTGAAAACACCATTCTTCTTTGTGTGGTAAAGTTCTAGAGTTTTGGTTATGATGAATTCATTACTTGAATCGTTTGGCCATTGTCGCTTCATGTTCAAGAAGTTACCATTGAAATACATTACACTTTTGTTGTTGTTCCTCTACTTCGAGTAGATCTAATGTTTTGTTCGGTACGTAGTTTCATTTCTTTAATTGGAAACAGGAAACGTTTCCATATTTCTTTTATAAAATTCGGCCCACTTTCATCGTACCAACCGACAAGTCTTTTGAAACGTCAAACAATGACTGTGAAAACGTCCTCTTTTTTCTAGGGTCAACGCTAATTCGTGTACTTCCCTTTTATGATTGAATTTTATTTTTTGGGTAAAAACGATTACCTTTATAAAAGTTTTGTAAAAAAAAATATCTCTCATCTCCCGGGACATGCCAAGAAGCTTCTAACCCTAATAATTAACAAATGTATAACAAATTATCAGGTAGTTATTAAGTTAGCGAAAAGAATCAATTCTAAATATTTGTATAATTTTATTGATGTACGGGATAATTATTTTTTAAAACTCGCATAACAATACAATATATTTTTTGTTTTGTCTTTTTATTTTCGGGTACGTAAGGCAAACTATCCACAACTCCAAATCAAATCCAGGCTGAATGGCTTTCTGATTGAGGCAGGAACAGGCCACGACATTTAAAACCCTCTTTGCGTTTGTCAATTTCTATCCACTACTCACAAAATTGAGATATTAGATATGCATGCTCCACTATAATTCTCCAAAAGTACCAACCCTAAAACTAATATTCCTATATATCTTTAAGCACAGATGGAGGCCCACCCCCTCCTCCAATCTCTCATTGCCACCACCTCCACCACCACATACGGTGTTCGTGCACTTTCCTCCCCGCCACCAAAAGTGGATTCTCACGTCATAAGCAATGTTTCCGGCATCCTTTTTCGTTTAACTTTGATAACACTCATAGGAATTTTGGCTATTTGGGCAAACCACGAGGCGTCCAAAGGCTTCTCCATAACAATTGTCAACGATGCAGGTAAGTACTCATTGCCTGGAAAACACTTTTCGCTCTTCTACCAAGCAAACGATAAAGCGACAAGAATTGTCCTCAATACAAGCAGATTTGTAGAAAATCTCCTCTACCCTAATAAAGACTTCCTACATATGAGGAAACAAATCGATGGTGTCACTCTTAGACTTGCCCCCACAGTTTTTCCCGGTATTGTGGCAGTTGATTCACCAAAACCCTATGAATATATAATCAGTTTGAGTCCCTCGGTGATGGAAACTTCGAACAACAATGAAGAAGCCATTGTATTGGCGGTGCTACAAGGCATGGCACGTGTATGGCTGTGGGATGGCAATGGGGCAACTCCACCGGTGCTTTTGAACGGCATGGTTGAATATATAAGCAGTTTAGCAGGCTTCACACTGGCAGAAGCATGGACGTCCAGTGGTGATGCTACAAGATCGCCGGAAAAGAATGTTGTTTGCTGGACAGATGAGCAGCCAAGAATGGTGGCATGGTTTTTGAGATATTGTGATCAAAGAAAACAACCAGGTGGTGGTGGTGGCGGCGAGGTCATCCGGAGGTTGAACCAAAAGATGAGAACCGGATGGCATGATTGGATGATGGATGAAGCCTTAGGCATGGCAGGTCAGCATGCATGTGCATCTTACGACATGCTGATAAGGCATCACAATCTATTAAGTTCAATGTGATTATGTGTCGGGTCTACACTATATAATTGGGTGTAGATATAATTATGATGGATCCATGTCATTATTGTTGCTTTTTTCTCAAATATTTTTTAATTACCAGTTGCAACTTGCAACATTATTATTTGTACAATGAAACATCCGTCTTACCAAATAGTGTCAATATTGTGCGGATGCTTACGTTTAGATGTTGTTTGTTTTTTTTAATCAAAAATTTATAAAATTTACAAACCAACTCTGCAACCATCTGCAGTAGAATAGGTGAACCAAACGGCTGACGATGGTAATAAGAAGCATGTTTATTTTTTTAACATATGCATGTTGTTGCAGATATTAAAAAATTAAAATAAATTAATTTTATAATCTGAAAATAGTTTTTAATACCGAAAATTTAATAATGTATAACATTTCGGCAATAATTTATGATATTTCAGTAAAAATAATAGTATTTTAACAAAAAATAATGATATTTTAGCATAAAATAATGATATTTCATTAACAAATTATTATTATTATTCAATATAAAAAATCAACAATAATAAACAAAAAAAACAAAAAATAATGTGAAATAACATTTCAGAAATATATATAATCAATATTTTAGCAAGAAAAAAAACAAGAATAGGAGGTTGGAAGAGGTAGGAAGAGGCAAAACAAGTGTTGCGCCAATAAGAACTCTCGCAAAGGTTTTTTAATCCAAAGAGTTCTGAAAAACAAACATGTGCGAGATGAAAAGTGTTGCGCGTGTGCTACGCCGCGCAGCAATAAGAGGTCTGAAAACGGTTTTTCCAAAAAACAAACATCACCTTAATAATTTTATATTTCAATCTTGTTTTAGTTTGATCAGGAAATGAATGATCGTGTTGAATTGGCTTGTGTCCTACTTCTAGAATCATTTGGTGCTTGAAAAGTTATAGATAACATTACAACATGTTTTACACAATATCAAATGATAAAGTTCCTTGAATGGATTTGCATCCGATAATATATGTTCTGTAACTTCGTGTCAATAAACTGAGTGTAGTGTCCCACAATGTAATTTACCTCGATATCATTTATCTACCTATGTCCAACTAGTTAATATATAACTGAAGTTTGTACCATCTTAGTTATTATCTTATCACTATGTTTTAATATTTAACTAGGGAAGAATCCCCGCTTTGTGGGGTTCGGGATTGGATATGTCCAAGAAATGGACAAAACAGGAAGAATTTATTGAGTTACATTGAACTGATTATATTAAACTTGTTTACTAGTCCCAATGAATATATAATAGGTAATTATCAAGAAAGTTTACCAAATTCAACTACCAATGAATATATAATATATTACACATAATTGATTGATTTACATTTTGAAAGATAACCCTAAACTAATCACTAAAAATTGGAATCATTAAATGTTGTTACCTGCTTAGTAGGTAAATAAATTAAGTTTTATGAATATATCAGTTCCAAGAATACAACACATAGTCTTCTCTGTTGTTGTGAGTGTAGAATTCAATCAATGGTAGTATTGCTTTGTTTGTTTATTGCTCTACACAACTCAAAATCAACAGTACAGCGCCACTTAATAATGAAATAAAAAATATGATTCAAAAATAGAAAAAATAAAAATAACCTTTTTCAGTCCAAATCTGATCTCCAACTTTCTCGATTGCTGATCAGTGCAATTTGAACATGACACGGGTTCTATGCAAATTTTGAATGCGGCGACAAACCATGCTTCAAATTCATAATTCTTACAGGGTTTGGTTCCAATGGAGAATACATGGTATTTAGACTAATACTATCATCTTCCTTAGAGAGATTATATACATCTGCAAAACAAATAATACTTCATACCAACCACTATACATTGTCATTTCCTGAAAATTATTATTATAGAACAGAGAACTGTTCACTAAGGTACTTCAAGATTTATATTTATATAAATGTAATGATTATCATAGGCAACTTTTTGTTTAGACGGCACATTATTTTGTATACATAGAGGATCCATCTCTTTAATGAAGGCATGGAGATTACAAACTCTACATAGCAATAAATTAAATGACACAGTTTGTTATTAAGCAGAAAGGACCACATCCGATAAGGTGTTATATATCTTTGTTTCTTGTTTGGCAATTGGGTCCGAAAATGTCCTCAGTCCAAGGGGACACTAGTAGAAAAAATGATTTTAATTACAGACAAATCACGACGTACATCGGTTTTATGACAAACAAAGATGTGTGTCCATGGTTTTACGACAAACAAAGATGTATGTATATCATATTATTTTTGTCTAATAAAAAACATGCGCTATAAATTTTATTTTTGTCCATTGTCTCTTAAAAAAAGTTGTCATTTTATATTCCTTGCCTTATGTCGTTTCCATCTCCCTATAGGGGTTCAAAACACATGTGATCTAGGGTTTTTATCATTTCGCTAGCTACCTTGCGGTTTTGATCTGGGGCTTAAATGAACCTTCACCATATTATGCTAAATTGTTTCCCCCCTCACATACTAGAGAGAACTCGATGCTTCAAGCAATTCTTCATCAAGCTTGTATGCATGGTTTTGTTAGACCTATAAAATTTTCTCTCATATAATCTTTATTAATCATTCATAGTACTGGTCCTCGTAATTTTTGGAATAACTTCTTTTGATTTTGGCTATAAGTATGTTATTGGAGGTGCACCGTAAGACAATCCATCTAGATTAACTGTTAGCACAAATGGTGTTTTAGAATCGTTGTTGGCTATAACTCACTTGAATGAAGCCACCAATGTGATTTTTCCCCTTCTATAGTTGACGACTAGAACAGGTAGCTCTTCATTGTCTAAAATTGGTCCATTTTAGGGCTAAATTGCATTTTTTTTTTCTATTCTTGTAGTTTAATGCTTTTCTCTTTGGATGTTATTTATCTTGATTGAAAAAAAAAAGAATATATAATTCTTGTATAAATCTTATTCTATAAAGATCAGATCAGTGGTATTGCATCTTTGTTTGTAAATTTGTCAAGCTTCTGCCTTCTGGTTCATTCTTAATTTGGGGATCTTGGATTCTTATGGTTTTACATACTCAATGACATTGGCTATCGACTTTTGTCATTACATCAAAGAAGTTATGGACTCTTAGCAGTTAGCATTGAGCTATACCTCCCTAAAGCAGTTGTCTACATCATTAAGTATCGGGATGTGCATTATTGTTCTAAGATTGGATATGACCATAATTGTGATTTTTTTGTTGCATGGATGAAGCATGGAGAATTGGAAAGATGAGGCATAATCGAGTGGCTAATTTGATTAGATATTGTTGTTATGGAGATGAAAGGCTACTTATTGCAGAGTATATACCTAATGATACTTTAGCAAAACATGTATTTCACTATACGTATTCATAACTATACTTCTATCTTACAGTTCCCATTTCCATTTTCAAAATAATTTTGGAGTTTGAAATTTGAATTCGTTATGCTATATGCTTCCGAGTAATCATAATCAGGTAATCATATGTAATCAAACATGTTGTAGGGGGTGGTATTGACATTGTAATATATACTTTTATGGTGTTGAATGTTTGGCAAGTTGTAATTTGTTTAAGGAGTAATAGATAGAATGAGAGCATATAAGTAATTTTACATATATCCCATTAGGATGTTTTAATAAACAAATCAATCAAAGTACGTTGCTATATCTTACATTTAACTATTCTCTTTAATAGTGGAGAATCAAACGATCGAATCAGCAATGCATTTATGGGTGGCTCTATGCATTGATGAGGCATTGGATTATTGCAGTAGTGAAGGTCATCCATTGTATCATGAATTGAATGCCTATAGAGTTCTCTTTGATGAGGTACTGTATTTTTATTTTTAATTTTTATATATTCATAATGTTTTTCATTAGTGAAATATAAATATTGTCTTGACAATCATATGATTGAGAGATCATAAAAAAAAAAAAAAAAAAAAAAAAAAAAAAAGGATTTCTATATTTTGTTTGAATTAAATTGATAATTTGATTGGAAAATGCGGTAGAATGTTGATCCTACGCTTTTGTATTTTGGGTTGATGAAAAACAGCAGAGACGGAAAAAAATACAACAAAAAACTTGCATACACTCCTTCCAAATATCATAAAATTGTATGACCCCCCCCCCCCCCCGGTCCAACTCACCATAATGAAGCTTTTTGCAAAATTCAAGCCTTTTTGGTGAATCATGATAAATTTAAACTTTTTTAAATGTAACCCAAAACCATAAGGTGTTTACAAAAAAGTTTTCAAAACATTTCCAACATCATAGTTTTTCCAAAACTGTAAGCCAACTTTGTAAGCCTTTTTTGGTGAATCACACCTTCGCCTTCCCGCAGTCATCCGAAGTACCTGAAACATAACCCAAAACTGTAAGCCAACTCTTAGTGAGTCCCCCCCCCCCCCCCAATAAAAAAATACCAACATATAACCAAATAACAAATATACAATAACAGTATGTAATAAATCCACAGCTAAAAGACTGGATTACCCCTGAGCCCACAACATAAGTCCGGCATGCCCTCGGGCCTACAACTTATGTCTAGCTTGCTCCTCGACCAGATCAGTCATCAGACCGAAGTACTATTAAGCCCTGAGTACAAGTCTGGCATACTGTCTGGTCCTCAGCTCGTAACTGGAATGCTCGTGAGTCCTCAGTATGAGTCTGACATGCACTACCCGACCCTCATCTCTTATCTAGAATACTCCAAGGTTTTTTGGCTACAACATGGAGTAGTACAACCTTAATCCAACCCAACATGTCGACATATAAAAGATAATAACATATTCAGATAATCATGCAGACAGAATAACAGGTAGTCCTACAAATCTAGCAGACTAGCATATCAAGAACTAGCATAAACATGCATATATATATATATATATATATATATATATATATATATTCTATACTCAGTGTATCACTGAATATCGTTATATCAAACCAATGAGTCAGCCTTGGTGTCTACGACCTGTAAGTATAGTAAGGA